AGAAAATTGCCATATTGTGAATCAGACGCCAAGGTTCGGGGAGCTGACCAGCTTGCAGCGCTGCGAAACCGAAGTGTTCCGGTGGGGCTGGCAGTTCTTGCCGTGGGCTAATTAGTAGGGAATAAGGGAAGAAATTACATATGGACTTTCTGGATTTTCTTCCTTTATTCCCTACTAAGAACCAGTAAGTTTTGATTCAAGGCGGGTGTATACTGCCCCAAACACATGCATGGAAGCCCACAACCGGCCCTACCAGGACTACTGTTCTGTTTTACTATGGGGGCCTGAATATATCGGCTTTCATGTTTAAGGTTGGGGATGTTCAGGCTTTGGGTTGAGGGATTGTCTTTGGACCCCTCAACATGATGAGCTAAGCCTCATCCCTGAACCTGAACCCCGTAGAAAGCAAGTTGCGCAGAGTTTGTAAAGCGAAGCATGGCCGGAGGCCTGGGGAGATCTTGCTTTTACGGGGTCCTCCATGTTGGTTCTTTTGGATCGCCAAATCCGAACCCATTATTTTGAGAAATTTGGCGCACATGTTCCGTCTTCCAACACGGTGCTGTTTGGTTGACACCGTTTATGAGTATCTTCTGCAGCTGCACCATGCATGATCTCAAGACCCTGTGTCACGGCCAGGCGCAGGTGCAAAGAGAACACCTGTGCAAGTTCATCAACGTCCACAAACTTCCGTTGGTAGCTCGCACCTCAGTTTTGATCCCCAGTGCTCTGTTGCAAGTGCGGAAGCACAGCCCAAAAGTACCGCCTAAACCCTAATAATGACTGCATCCTGACGATCCATCCTAGCTCTCTGCTAGTGGCTTTTTTTTTGTGGAACTTGGGGAGGCGGGGAATCAGCTAAAGGTACCCCTGTTTTGGACATGCCCCCCTGGAACATGACCTTCATGGTCACAACTCTTCAGAACAAGCGAGGGCTCTGAACCTGGCACCGGGGTGGTATGCAAATATCACTGCAGCAGAGGTGTATCGAATCGGGCTCTGGGAATGGTACGTAAGCCTGGATGCCCTGAGGGGTCAAAGTTGCTGGGTAAGCAGCTCTCGCAAAGACTTCAGAAAACACAAAGAATGGCAGGAGCAATCAAAATTTGAAAGGTTGATCAGACGTCCGAATGGGCCTGAGCCCTCAACCCTAAACTTACCCTAAATAACCCCGTAGGAGTAATTTCCATGTTCTTTTCCATTATCCCAAAAAACACCATATACGACTGCAATACCGGAATCGAATTCCTCGTGCCGGCGAGGATTGGAACGACATTTGCATGCAGGCGCATGGCATGGGGGTTTAGGATTTAAGGTGGGCCGGTGAACCCTCGATCCCACGGCTATTCGGGGGGTCTACACTGGAATATGGTCTTATACCTAGAGATAGAAGTTCCCGCATCCTCAACTACTAGCTTGCGTTTGATACTGAGAATCCTGCATGGCCGTAGTATACTATAGTAGCATAATTCCCAAGGTTTAGGGTACTGAAGGTCATGCAACATGTTTAGTATCCGCCGTACCCCCAGAGGACGGCATAGGCATCAAAAATTGATAAGGCATCAAGAAAAATTTGCCAAGCATCAAAAATAATTCGAGCCGTAGTCTCTTTTCAACTACTGTTATTATCAGTATTGCTACCAGTATACCTAATATCCGTATTCGTACTGTGAGTACTACTATTCCCCACTCACTTTAATCTCGCTAATGTATAGCACAGTTATCCTCAATTTTCTCGCTGCTTGTCAATTTATTTTTGATGCAATGCACAAGTTCTCAATTGTTTCTTGATTCTTTGGGTTAATTGTTTCTTGATGTTTAGTTTTTTTCTTGATGCGTCACTCCCCAAAGGACTTGCTTGTTGCCAGGCAGAGCGGCAGACTCCACTGCCACAGTCTTGGAGATCCTGGGAGCTGCAGGAAAGGGTTGAGGGTTTAGAGGATTCAGAGTTTAGGGTTTACTGTTGAAAGTGGTGGTTCAGTTGGGAGATGAGGTTTTAGCAGTAGGTGGCTGGGGGTGAAGGGTTAGGGGCCAAGGGTTTCAGGATAAGGAAGGGTTTAGAGTAGTTGAAGATGCTGAAAGCCTGGAGTTTGGATGAGATGTAAGGTCCATCAGATGTGCCCATGAGTTGAGCACCATTTCTTCAAACTGCTATGGCCAGGGTGGCACTTACGACTACTGACTTGAACAGCAAGATTTTCCTACTTCTGGATGCAGGGTGTGGATGTCCCTGCCGTTTGGGTTTACATGTTGAGGGTGTGTGGTTTCTGTGGTTCTGGTTTTGGAACGCATTGTTTCATGGATTTGGATTCGGCAACTATCTAGTGCCGAAGCATCGGTGACAAGACCTGGAAAACAAGCGACAGATCACCTTGGGCCCCTTGTCCACTGGAAGGGCCATTACTTGTTGGTTCCAATAGGGGTCTCACTGCGATGCCTACCTCTGGAAACAGCACGCCCATGGAAGATTGTTCTTAGTCATTGAGAGAGCCTTCGCTTCCAAGAAATTTCAAAGTGCTGCAAGAGTTTCTTCCACCTAGACCGTAGCAGCAGTTGGGAGAGGAGTCGAAGTAGTCAGCAGCAGCTGTGCCAGCGGTGGTGCTGGCAACAGCAACGACGGTGGCTTCACGATTGAGAATAAGAAGTAACAGTAAGCCCTGCTCTGAAAACAGGATCCGCTTGATGAGCCCGGAAAGGCGTACATTCTAGAGCCCCGGTCTCAGCCCTGCGGAAAGCTGAGTTGAAGTCAGCAGCTGGCCCAGTTGCTTCTGCTGTTCTACAGAGTATCTCACCCTGGAATCCTAGGAATGAAAACAGTCAGCTGAGGCATGTAAGGTAGCTTCCATCAGCAGGAGGATGTCTTACGTGCATGTCATTCATCACCCATGTGTCCACCTGTCGTGTGGTTGAGTGGCATGCGATGTCATGGAAATTGAGGTCCCTGTTTGAAGCCCCTGCATCATGGAAGGTAGCATGTTACCAAAAGTATTAGGCCACGTACGGGAAGAATTGCACTATGCAAATGGAATCCGGCCACCATGAAAGCCAAGTTGACAAGGGTGGCTCCATTAACAGTTACCATGAGGTAGTTTCCCAGCATAAGGGGACCCCAATATCGACCCCAGAATTCTATAATCCTTATTCTCGGGACCCCCAAAAAGGTACCCCCAATTTTGGGAAACTCTAAAACCCTAAACCCTATATTTATAATATATCCTTCTACACCCCTTTATATCCCCCATACCCAGCTACAGCGAGGCCTCTGGGTGTTGTTGCTTGTAGCTTGCACTAGCGACGGCAAGCTCAACCATCCCACAGGGCCGTGCTCCAGAAAGAAATCTCCTACTGAGTAGTATTTTATTTGGGAATTTATGGTTCACATAACACATTTTTGGTTGCAGGATGTTTGCAGTGATCGTGGGGAAAGACCATAGGAACGGTCCTAATGCATGGAATGAGATGGTGTCTTCCATGCCCCGGTCCATTGCTAGTGGGAACTAAAGAAGTAAATCGCATGAGGTGGCAATATGCCTACTTCAAGGTACAAGGGCTTTAGCCGCGTAACCTTCCAGAGTCCATAACTATGATCTCGAATCAAAACCTTCATACCTAGAGTCCTTCCATAGATGTGAGGACTATTCAAAATTGGTAGCCTCAGACCTCAGAGACCTTGCAGGTATGCAGGATATACCCTAAACCCTAAAACCCTATATATGTTATTTAGGGGATTATATAGGGGACTACTATAGGGGTTATTAAGGGGGATGCTAGGAGCTTAGACTATGGCTCATGTTAGGGTCCCGGTTTCATTACACAGCCATCCATCACAGTTTTTAATCCATGGGCTTGTTCACCGTTTGGTCAGCAGTGAATGGAAGGAATGGAGCCTTATAGTAGTCCCTTTAAACCCATTATAGTAGTCTTCGTTTTCTTTTCCATTCTAACCATAAACCCTAAACCTTTTATAGTAGTTTCCATTTTCTTTTCCATGCCTTCATTTGTCCCTTTATAAGCCTTTCATACTTTAGTAGTTTCCATTTTCTTTTCCATTAATCCCATGTAACCCTCATATTAACCCTATATACCCCCCTGTATGATTCCTGTATGGATTCCCTACATCGTAGGTCTGCCTCACTTCATGCTAGCCAGATGAGAAAAGCTTCCCAAAAAAGGGGGACCAAGGTAGTACCCTTAAAGGGGTTATATGGGGTTTATAAGGCTTATATAGGGTTTAGGGTTTAGGTTCATGAGACCGAAGCTTTCTGAAAGAAACCCAGTCTTGCAAAAATGGGATTACAGGGATGGGGTCTACATGGCGAATTCTGCGGATTTCCACCTGAAACCTCTGAAATAGGAAAGCACCTAAGCCACATCACGCTTTTCATAATCTATCCTTTAGTATATCACATGGGATTAAACATATATTGTAAATACGAACATTCTGTTCTATCACATGGAATATTCAGGTATATTGTATAATATGCTTTGATGCTATACCATATGAACCTAATGGCTGAACGCGCAACAAGCGCAAATACGACCAAGGAGTATTGGGAGTACTCGGGCTTGTTAAGGCTTATTGGGGCTTGTTGGGCCTTACGAGTTTGGGGCTTCAAAAGGCCCATGGTAGTCCTATGTTGCAAGGGGAGTCTTCCAAACCCTACTGCAGGTGAATCGTGTAATCAGGAACTAGACATGCAAGTAGGCGTTTTCTGGCCACTGGCCTTTGATTCATCTAGTTGCCGTTCGCCCCTGATTCATCAACCGCGCCAAGGTCTTCCGACCGAGGTCGATGTTTGTCGCACCTAGGCACGCGGATGTGCTCCTCCTTTCTTATGTTATTGCCATTTCGTTTCCTGGGGTGATTCCTTGCTGCTACTAGATACAACCCACTCATGTGTGTGGATATGAGGGATGATGTGTTACAGCCACCAGCAGCCTGTTGGCAGCATTTCTTGGAGGTGCTTTGCATAGAAATACTGGAATGTCACCGCTTGCCGCAGGCTTTTGCGAGTGCTTCCCGCCCTACCGGGGGAGGTTCTGCGAAAATGTGGAGCCTGGCAAGAAGGCAGCAATTTAGTGTTTAGGGTGTTTCATCGAGGGGGTGTGCCTTTGCTGAAATCACTCAGGCGCGCGCCCCGAAGTGTATGAGCCCAACCCTACTGGCGCTCCACCCTCACCTCGACCTCTGCGGCTTACGGGTTTCCTTGATTTCCGCTCACTTTCTTGTCCTCCCGTTTGTTTTTTGGGCTCTGAGAAGAACTATTCATGCGCTTCGTGACTGACTTGGGTAGCAGGACATGAATGGGTGCTAGGGTACCCTGACCAAGAAAGTGAAGGTTTGGGTTTGGCTTTGGCTCGAGACCTCCAGCTTTCCAATGTTCAGTTTGTGAACGGGTTGGCTTGGGGTCAGGCTGGAGGTCTCTCGTTTTCCAAGTTTAGTTTGTGCAAGGTCTGGGTATGGGTCTGGTTTGAGGCCTTAAGTTTTCTTCACATTGAGCCTCGGTTTCAAAGGGTTGGACCTGACCAGACGGGCTGGGTTTGGGTTGGATCTGGCTCGGGGCCTTTCGTCGTCTTTTTCAGCTTGAGCCTTGGTTGGAGGGCCGAGTCCTCTTGACCAGGTGCTGTTTGGACACCTTGGGTCTGGCTCAAGGCTTTAGGTTTTCTTTAAATTAAGCCTTGGTTAGAGGCCACTCCAAAGGGCGGCTTGGAGTACTGGGGTCGGTGGATTGATCTGCAGAGAAGGAGGCCAGCTGTGGAGTATACCTTATTCTGATGACCGGCTGCTCGCCCACGACCTGCCGGGGGCTGGGAGCTCTGCCTGTCGCCAGCCGCAGTGTTTCTGGCTCCGGAGCTGCATCGCCTGCTCAACGTCACCGGGCTCACTCAGTTTAGGGCTTAGAGGATTTGATTTTAGGCGGGGTGGTGTGCAGGATGCTTGGCTTAGCATTGAAATCATCATCTGCAGGTAGGTCGCTGTCCCCTCTTCTAGGCATACAGGTTCCACAGAAGGCGCCTAGTGGCTTCATGGACGGGCGCCCAAGCCCAAGGTTTACCAAGGCAGTTTCAATCAAGGGCCTTGGAGCTGATGGTGGACACCTTGATTTAGCCCCAAGGCCCGAGAGTCTATTTGGTATCATATATTATACTATAGAATACTATAGCGTAAGATAGTGTAATGTAGTATAATATATGGCATGTTGGGTGAGGACGGCTCGCGGAAATACCGAGCTGTGCTGCACTACCTGGTAGGCGCGGTGCCCATGGGGATTTACTAAAACACGGGCTTCTTTTTTGGAGGTACCTATAGTAAGGTGTCTAGCATCTTTGGATTTAGTTTGGGGCTCCCTATGGAATCAGAAAATTGATCTAGAGGTCAAAGGATGTAGGGTTTGGGAGTTACGTAGGTTCTGTGGTGACGAAACTTGGAGTCGAATCAAAGATGCTCGGCTTTCTTTCAGGGAGATGCCCAAAGCATCCCCAGACAGAGCAACCGCTCCGTATGGGTTTCCTTTGAAGTACCTTCTAAGCGTCCTTCTGAGAGGGTCTGTCGTATCCGAGGGTCCCCGTGGAATGCACCCAATTTGTACTGAGGTCATACAGTGGGGACTTTGGCAACCGACTTTCAGTCTTACAAAGCAGCTTTCATGGGTTTGGGGTTGGAGGTTTGAGAGATGGCGCTGACTCGAGCCTCGCTTTGAAAATGTGTGCAAAACAGGGTTCCCCCTGAACATCATGAGGATCCTAGATTCGAGCATCGCCACAGCATAACAGAAGAACGGCCTGGCTTCTCCCATGCACTTATCCGGCCTCCGTAATGTTGTATGCAGCAAGGCCTACTGGAAAAGACTGCCTTCCAGGGGCCGCATGACAATCGCCTCATGACAATCGTCGGCTGTTGGAGCAGATGTCTGGAGGAATTACGGAATTTGCTGGAACTCAGAGACAAACCCAAGTCCTTGCCGAGACGTAGCATTTTCAGATACATGAATTGCATGAGCTACTGGGTCAGGAGACCGGGAGAAGCTGCTAAGCGACTTCGAGCGTACGCTTCCGCTACTCTGGGACAGGTGCCACCTCTAGCTTGGGGATTGGGGAAAGGGTCAGGGTCCTTGTGAGGGATGAGGCTGGAGCAGAATTGCCTAAAAGACACCACCAGATTAGTGCATGCTGCATGCAGGTTCAACAAGCAGGAAGACTACCCAGTGGTGGTGTTTCACGATGGCCTTTCCAAAGTGAGCGAGCGGCTCAGAACTATGAGTTTCGATTGCGATGATACCATGTAGGAATGAAATGTCGGCTTTTGGCATTTCACTCGTGTGTGGGAGCTTGTCGTGGACCGGGACGAAGCTCGTAATTGTCCATTGCCTCAAGCATACATTGGCCGTACATGTTGCTGTTCGTGTTGGCGATGGTGCAAGTCATTTCAAAGCACAAGTTTCTGAATAGATGCCTGTATCATCCGGTATCCGCATGTGGCGCGGAGCATGAGTTCGGGAAGCGCAGCAATGCTTCAGTGGGGACTACAACCATGCATAGGGCTCGGAACTAGTGCTTAGAAAAGCTTTTCCAATGCCCGAACCCAAACTAAGCCGGCGAATCGCAAGACTGTCACGCGAATATGCTACTTTCAACCATGGCATCGTTGGCCCTGTGCGCGATGATGCGGCCAAAGTTCAGCCGTATTGCGAGGTAGAGAGGCACCCGCAAAGCAAAGCCCTGTGATTTTGCTCACCCAGCTGCCAAGACCCAATGAAAACGACTTTAAGCCCAAACTCTAAACTTTATCGGCTGCTAAGGTCGGAAGCGAATCTTGGAGGCATCAATCTCTCTGAGCCACGCTGCAATCTATCCAAACGTGAATTCGAATGCGAACTGTTAAAGAGGCATGTCATTTGTCACGTCAGTTGCCGGGTTCAGGTGCAGCTTTCCTGCGGCTATTGTTACTTTCTGTACGGTTGATATCATAAGTTTCATCCGTATGTGCTTCGTCATTATGTTGACACAGGTTTCCAAGCCCTGACTGCAGATGCATGTGCTGAGGGGGTAGCGAGGCGACACGGCAAACAAGCAGTGCTACACTTCATGCAAAACAGTGCACCCGCTAGATGAGCTATAATCTAAACTCCTTAAAGGGGCTTATATAGGGAAGCTTTACAGGGGTTATTATTGGGGATACTAGGAGTTTATAGCTCATACAGGATCTGGTCACCACATCCTTCGGTGAAACTCGCAGGGAAGCCTTTGAACATGCCCAGAGGGAATTGGATGGACTTGCTATTACCCTATGACTCCAAAGAGCCCAATGTAGGTACTATTTATAGAAATCGGGGCCCGATGTAGGATTTTTTCATAGACATGGAGCCCCAGGGTTACAATCACCGGCATGGCTACAACGACTCTTGCAACTAGGAGTGGCCCAACTTCTGTTATTGTTTGCTTTTTTTGTGTGTACAGCGGTTGATACTCAGAAGCCCCGCATTATAGTGTGGGGACGCCATAACTTCCAAGGTGTGTGAGAAGATGCTATGTACTCCGCCAGATCTCCATGAATACTTTCAGAAAGCCTTTGGAAGTTTCTCAAAGTCTTCCCTTTGAAGCCCATCGGGACGCCTAGGATCCCTTTCCGTAATGCTCATACATCAGTAAGGGCCTGGAAAGGGGACCCCAATCTAGACCCCCCAAAATACTATAGTCTAATTTTGGGAAACCCCCATGGAGTCCATTTTGACAGCAGCAGCTTCCGCCTTTGTGTTTGCTAGCCAGGCATCCTCAAACCGAATATGGCGACAGCCTTGGTGCAATGCCTCCCCTACCCACCCCCTAGTAATAACGCTCCAAGATGCTCCGAGATTATACCGTTGTATATATATGGGGGGAATATCTATTATTGGGTGGGTGGGAGAGGTTCTTCCTCAAGACATGACTCGTGGCGTAATGGAACCTTATAGAATCACCGCCATCACTTGTGGGCACTCCTAGCGAGCTGAGGGGTCACCTCACAATCAAGAACCTGCTTTGTAGGTGTGAGGGTTCAGAGTTTGGGGATGAAAAAGTCCACGGGAAATTCCCACACGAGGCCCTATTCGCACCTGCGGAGGTGCCACCGATGTATTTTGTTTTTATAAGTACAGGCCTTAGTAGTCTGCCCGAGCGATACAGACGTTCGATGAGGGTATGGGGCTCACTTCTCCCTTCCTTCTTAAGTTGTTGATGGACGAGCTGCGCTGGCAGCTGTGGGATTCACACGCGGTTTGAACCAGCGGAACTGGACTCTACCCCCTTGGACCACTCGGGCAAGCTGTGAGTGGCACCATGAGGCTCTTTCAGTTTCCTTGTCAGGGAAAGTCAAGAAAAGTCTAGAGCACTCCGAACCATTTTTGTGCTTGATTGTCCCATAGAATCTACCAATGCAACTATATTGATGTTCAAGCCCACGCTTCAGCGGGGACACAAAGCCGCAAAATCCATATCTTCAAAGCCCTTGAACACGAAGCTCCAGCCCAGACACTGACTTGGATGCTGCAAAACCCACACCGAACGGCGGATATTCAAATCCTGCATGCCCTAAGTACCTACATAATGGATTGAAAATTCTGGTAGCACAAGATATAAAGGTCATCGAGGATTCTTAGCGCTCAAGCTTCTAGTCATCCTGCAGAAGCTGTAGGACAGCAACGGTATGTAGTAGTTTGCATAGATAGGGGCACCCCAATACAAATCGCAATTTATTTTGACCCTTTCTATGCGGACCCCTGAAAGGCACCCCTAATCCAGGAAACTTCCATGCCAAGTTGATAGGTGGCTCACTCTATTCCCGATGTCCTAACATCTACTCAAGGATGACAGTAGTTCAATCTGGGACGGTTTCGCCACCCACCCACCATAATTCCGCAGCTTCCAACCCTGCTGTGCCTAAATTTGGGCTTAGTGGGGAATAAGGGAACGTACTATATAGTGAGTATATCGGGATCGCTACGAAGAATCAGCAAGTAAATGTACCAAAGCTCCGGAGAATTGGGTCCAGGGTCCTGCAACCACAACCATCCGAAGCATACAATCTCAGCCTACCTCGAAGTCCTTCTGCCTGAGGTTTGCCTATGTGGATGATTACAAGACAGTTCCGGCTGTTTTCAAGGCCCCTTACCATCATGGGTAGATATAGGGTATATAGGGTAGGTATTTAGGGTTAGGGTCACTATACTGGGTGTGGATATAGTACATAATAGGGCTTCTCCACTGCCAAGCTTTGCAGCTTGCGGCTTTCGGGTGCGGGCTCTGATCATCCCTTCTCCAAGCCCGCCCTCTGCACAGCCAGAACTCGTAATATAGACCCCAATAATCTATTCTAACCTAAACCCTAAACCCTTTTCAGTTTTCCTAAGTGGGGGAACCTTAATGTAGACTCCAAGGACTTTATAATCCTCCTTATTGGGACACCGAAAATGGTACCCCCCAAAATTTTGGAAGATTTTTTAACGCCTTTATATAACCACTATAGAATGACAGTTGCCATGTCAATTCAAAATTGGCTTTTCCATTTGATTCTGCATTGATTGGAGTAAAATATGCCTGAGCAAGCGAGGCAAGATGATAGTTGCCTAAATAGGGGGATCTCAATATAACCCCCCAAATAAACACTATAATCCTTACATGTGCCCCTAAAAAGGGTACCCTAATTATAGGCCACCCCCATATAGAGCCGTCATGACTGCCATCCAGCTTTTCTTTCAGGGCCGCGTGGAGCTAGATCTCGGTGGCTACGGCCTGGGATACCGTGGCATGTGTCGATTCAGGCCTGCAGGTTCAGGTTTGGGGTCTAGCCTAGAAACGAAACAGCCAGAAGTTCCCATTTCTGTACAGTACAATATGCTGTGACGACTTGACGTTCATTAGGAGGTTGGGGGTTTTGATATTAGGGGAGGGATGCGCGCTTCCCAAAGCAACTCATCCTCATGTGGAGATCCTAATCTACAAAAGTGCGTTGTTTTTGGGAACACCGATAACACTGATGTATTTCTGGTTGCTGGGTTTCCCAGGGTGATTCCTGAAGATGTCTGGGCTGCTCCCGAGACATGCGTAATTGTGGATGTCAAGAAGCACGATGAAGTCGCATGGTTTTTTAGTTCTGATGCAAGCAAAGTGAACAAAGAAGCCCTGAAGCCTAATCCTGGTTCCAGGAATGCATTGCATTCCTCTGAATTCTCCCCCTTCTTGCTGACGCTGTTCCTCTCAACTGCTGTGGGTGGTCCCTGGACCCTAAACTAGGTCCCCTTGGATGTTGAGATGGGGCTCAAGGGGGGTTGACCCAGATGCAAGGTTAGGCGCCACTATGTAAGCTTCATCAAGAAAGATGGTATTTACCCTAAGAATGGAAAAATGAATGGAGCATGAAATGGAAACTGGAATATTATAGTGATTTACAGGGGCTGGGTATCGTCAGTCATATTGTCGGTGCTGGTCCTTGTGCGGCCTCGGTGTTGGCTTCTTCGTCCCTTGACTTCGAGCAAAAGGTGGCCCCAGGATGTTTGAAGTTGTTTAAGCGGCCTCACCCGACCTCACCCTAAATGGTGGTTTTATTTCGGGAATAGTACCAAAATCGGCTTAAATTGTGAAATTATTCTATTTAAGTTAAACTACCTTGAAGTTTATAGTAGCCCTCGCCATGGTAGTGCTTGCGGTCTTTCAAATTTCCAGGGAAAAATGAGGCTTGCAGCAAGTTAGCTGCATCGGAACTTTGTGATTGCTGTCCACAAACTTATGGTAGTTTCCCAAAATAAGGGGACCCCAACATAGACTCCAAAATACTATAATCCTTATTATGGGGGCCCCCAAAAAGGTACCCCTAATTTTGGGAAACCCCCATATATTTCCGCAGGTCGGGGCCCATCTTTATGCAGCCTGTCATGAAAGGTTTCGACTATGCAGCTGCCTTACCACGATCATGTGAGGGTCGATACCAAAGGAAGCCTAGTTCGAGCTAAGCATAGGACATGTTGCTCTTCCCTCCTTGCATTCCTTGTCTGATGTCACATTTAAAATCTGAGGTTTTGACTGTTTCCTGTTCTTCTTACCATTATTTTCTATTATGATCATGCTTACCCACCCGGTGTTCAGATGTGTCGTCTTGTCCGGGTGCCTTGCCAAGTGCCAGCAAAGGCCTGGACATTAGACACCGACGGCTACTTTCCAGCAGACATCCTCTCCGATCCCTTGGAGAGGTCTCGCCTCCGCGATGCTTGACTTTGACTGGGTTGCTGTGAAGGAACTTAAATTCGGTTAATATAATGATGAACCACTACGTCTATCATATCTCCATATTATGGTAACAGCATGTAGATTCCTTCACAGCAACTCAGCTGAGTGGGGTTCATCTACTTGTAGAGTCTCTCTAGCTAGGAGGCAGGATAAGGTGAACGAAGCTTAGAAAGTCTCCCGGCTCCACCAAGCAAAGGAGCATCTGGGATCGTCGATCGATAATCCCTGTCTTTTGAATTCAGGGTCCGGGACGTACAGTCCCAATTTGGGACAGTGGGCTCAGTGTGTTCTTGCACAAGCCAGAAGCCCTGTGGAAGGCTCCCCATAAAGTGGTAGTTTCCTTAAAAAGTGGGCCCATATAGACCCCAAAATATTACAATCCTTATTAAATATAGGGACCCCAAAATGGTACCCCCAAGTTTGGGAAACCCCCAAGTGTCTTATTTGGAAAGTTGCCAGGATGTGGCGCGAAGACCGCGTCAACCTGGCTGGTTGCTGGGGTGATGCTGAGGGTGCAAAATTTTTGGGGGGGCACCTGCAAGCTGGATGAACCACCATCTTCAACCTAAACCCTCAACCCAAATAATATGCATTATCCACAAAGGGCTTCTAGATTCCAGCAAGGGTTTAGGTCTGAAGGTTTGGGGGGTTTCGGTTTGCCTGGATGCCATAACCGGCTTAGTCTATTAGTTTAGTAGAGGGTCGATCATCGGGAATTTCGTCGTGTTTCCAGTCTTTGTAGATAACTTGGCAGTTTACAGGCCTCGTCAACAAACTGCATTTGAAGTTCTTGTCACTTTTGGAACAGGAGTAACCCACATAAAGCTGCTAGCGAGCTTAGCTGAAGGTGCTGCCCCCCTCAGAAGTTTTTAAAGCTATGAACCCATGAACTTGAAGAAACATGTAAACCTGAAGGTTCACAAGTCCCGTCGCAAGTTATGTTCCTGTGTGCTTGGAACCCTCCCCCAGCTTGTTCGCCCAACCACTCTTTAGACTGGGTTGCTGTTAATGAACTTGAATAAAGTTACCAGAATATGGGTATGTAGCAAATGATAACTGATAGGGTCTCTTATTACAACAATTTAGTTTAAATTCCTTAACAGCAACCCTTTAGACATACCTCCGATGCGCAGGTCTACGGCTATTCGCATGTGTCTCGGGACCAGGCGTCTGCCGTTAGGCACTGAGATAAGACGAGTTTAGGGTTTAGGCTTCGGGGCCCGGCGGTTTAGGGATTTAGGGTTTA